GGAGGAGCGTCCACCTCTGTAACCACCAGCACCAGCACAGGCTCATCAGTGGAGATGGGGAGCACTCGGTGTTATTTTTAGAGTGAGATGTCTTAGTCTGCCTTTTTGCAAACTATCTAAGCTGGGCACAGAGTGTGGCTGCCAAAATGCAAGAGTGGCTGACAGTTCCTCTGGCTACTGCTGTCAGGCTTCCTCCGAGAGGCCCTGAGAGTGGGGCGAGATCACAAAATCACAGAATCACAGAACAGTAGGGGTTGGAAGGGACCTTTGGAGGTCATCTAGTCCAACCCCCCACCCTGCCAAAGCAGGGTCACCTAGAGCACTATGTGACAGAAATGCATCCAGGCAGGTTTTGAATATCTCCAGAGCAGGACACTCCACAACCTCTCCGGGCAGCCTGTTCCAGCGCTCTGTCACCCTCAAAGTAAGGAATTTTTTCCTCACATTGAGATGGAACTTCCTGTGTTCCAGTTTGTGCCCATTACCCCTTGTCCTGTCACTGGGCACCACTGAAGAGTCTGGCCCCATCCTCTTGACATCCGCCCTTTAGATATTGATAAGTGTTGATGACATCCTCTCTCAGTCTTCTCCAGGCTAAACAGACCCAGGTCTCTCAGCCTTTCCTCATGAGAAGGATGCTCCCGTCCTTCGATCATCTTCATAGTCTCTGCTGGACTCTCTCCAGTAGCTCCTTGTCTTTCTTGAACTGGGGAGCCCAGAACTGGACACAGTACTCCAGCTGTGGCCTCACTGGGGCACAGCAGAGAGGAAGAATGACCTCCCTCAATCCCCTGGCCACACTCTTCTTGATGCACCCCAGGATACCACTGGCCTTCTTGGCCACAAGGGCACATTGCTGCCTCGTGGTCAACTTGTTGTCCACCAGGACTCCCAGGTCCCTCTCTGCAGAGCTGCTCTCCAGCAGGTCAGCCCCCAACCTGTACCAATGCATGGGGTTATTCCTCCCGAGGTGCAGTACCCTACACTTGCCCTTGTTGAACTTCATTAGGTTCCTCTCTGCCCAACTCTCCAGCCTGGACAGGTCTCACTGAATGGCGGCACAGCCTTGTGGTGTGTCAGCCACTCCTCCCTCTGTTGTGTCATCAACAAACTCTGTCCCCTCACCCAGGTGGTTGATGAATATATTGAAGGCGACTAGAACCAGTAATGACCCCTGAGGAACACCACTAGTTACAGGCCTCCTACCAGACCCTGCACCGCTGATCACAACCCTCTGAGCTCTGCCACTCAGCCAGTTCTCAATGCGCCTCTCTGTCCACTCATCTAACCCACACTTCCTAAGCTTACCTATGAGGATGTTATGGGAGACAGTGTCAAAAGTGCTCAAGGCGAGGTAGCCAACGTCCACTGCTCTGCCCTCATCTACACAGCCAGTCATGCCATCATAGAATGGTTCCCCCTTGGTGAATCCATGTTTACCACTCCCGATAACCTCCTTTTCCTCCACATGCCTACAGATGACATCCAGAATGAGCTGTTCAATCTCCTTGTCAGGGATGGAGGTGAGGCCGACTGGCCTGTAGTTTCCAGGTCCTCTTTCTTGCCCTTTTTCAAGACTGGCAGGTCACTCCAGTCCGCAGGCACCTCTCCTGTTCTCCTTGACCTTTCAAAGATGATGGAGAGCAGCTTTGCAATAACATCTGCCACCTCCCTCAGCGCTTGTG